TACGATTGCCTTGTCTTTCTGAAAAGAATGATCCTTTTTTCATTATGAAATGGTCCTCTTTATCTCTGGTAGTATATTTTATTTGATATTTATTTTATCTGATTATTAATATTGGCATTCTAGCCTTCTTATGCTTACCGTCTGCGTGCTATGTCTTTTTCTCCATTCATTTACTTTCAACCTGTGTCTTTGTATTTAAAGTGTGTATCTTGTAGATAGCATATTGTTGGGTTTTAGTTTTTTTTTTCTGACATTCTTGAACTTTTAATTGATGTGTTGGTTTTCTTTCTTTTTTTTTAAGATTTATTTATTTATTTATTTATTAATTTTTAAAGATTTATTTATTTATTTATTTGACAGAGAGAGACACAGTGAGAGAGGGAACACAAGCAGGGGGAGAGGGAGAGGGAGAAGCAGGCTTCCTGCCGAGCAGGGAGCCCGATGCGGGGCTCAATCCCAGGACCCTGGGACCATGACCTGAGCCGAAGGCAGACGCTTAATGACTGAGCCACCCAGGTGCCCCTATTTATTTATTTATTTTAGAGAGAGATGAACACAAGGGAGGGGGAAAGGGCAGAAGGAGAGGGAGAGAGAGAATCTCAAGCAGACTCCCCGCTGAGCATGGAGCCTGACACAGGGCTCAATCTCAGGACCCTGAGATCATGACCTGGCCAAAATCAAGAGTTGGACTCAAACCAACTGAGTCACCCAGGCACCCCTTAATTGATTTTTTAATGCAATTTTGCTTTACTGTAACATTTAATGTAATTATTGCTATGATGATAAGTTTACATTTATCATTCTGTTTTTTCCTATTTGTTTATTTTCTGTTCCTCTGTCCCTCTTTTCCCTCCTTCTTTTGGATTATTTGAATATAGAATTTCAATTTAGTATTTCTGTTGGGTTTTTTTTAGCTATTCTTGTTTGCATTATTCTCTGGTAGTTCCGTAGGGATTACAATACACATCTTTAACTTTTCACAGGTCCCTTATAGTTGATAATGTATAATATTAAAATCTTATGTAAAATATTAAAGCCTTATAGATCCGTATCTTCCCCATCCTTTATGTTATGGTAGTTACATGTCTTATATATACACACTTATGAATTCTATCAGGCGATGTTATAACTTTCAACTTCAACGGTTTAAAGGTTTATAAGAACATTAACAGGAAAATGCAAGAAAAAAAATAAGTCTTGAACTCACTCAGATATTTATCACTTCCAGTGCTCTTCATTCTTTCCTGAGTGTCTGAGTTTACATCTTATATAATCTCCCTTTACCCTGAAGAACTTCCTTTAGTATTTCTTGTAATGTTGATCTGCTGGCAATGAATTCTTTCAGTTTTCATTTATTTTTATTTTTTTTCTTTGCCTTCACTGTTGGAGGATATTTTTGCTGGATATAGAATTCTGGATTGAATTTTCTTCATTCAGTACTTTATTATTTTTTTTAAAGATTTTATTTCAGACAGAGAGAGAGAGTGTGCACACACAAGCAGGGGGGAGGGGCAGAGGGAGAAGGAGGAGCAGACTCCCCACTGAGCAGAGAGCGCAATGCAGGGCTCGATCCCAGGACCCTGGGATCATGACCTGAGCTGAAGGCAGACGCTTAACCGACTGAGCCACCCAGGTGCCCCCACTTAGTACTTTAGAGATGTTCCACTGTCTTCTATCTTCATGGTCCTTTCCCAGTATATACTATGTCCATTTGCTCTTGCTGCTTTCAATAAGTACACTTCATCTGGTTTTCAGCAGTTTGATCATGATATACCTTGGGGTGGTTTTTGTTTTTTTACATTTCTGTCCTTCACCAAATTTAGGATATTTGGGGCCTTTATATTTTAGATAATTTTTTCTGCCTCATTCTCTTTCTTTTTATATTCCAGTGTCATGTGTGTTGGACTGTTAGAGATCATCTAACAAATCCCCATCTGACTTGGTTAATTTTTTTTTCTCCGTTCTTTCCTCTGTGTTCTTCACCCTGGAGACGTCCTCCGCTAAATCTCAGTTTTACTTGTTTTCCTCCATCACATCCATGCAGCTGCATCCAGTCAGTGAATTCTTTACTCCCAACATTGTATTTTTCAGTTCTAGAACTTCCATTTGGTTCATTTTTATTGTTTCTGTTTCTCTGCCAATGCTTCCCACTTCTCTGTTGAAATTTTCATTCATTGGAAATATCTCATTTTCCTTATCTGTTAGTTCCAATATTTTTTTCATTTTGGAGTTGGACTCCATGTATTTTCTTTTCTCTTGAGACTCTGTTCCATTTCTTGATTCTTAGAACGTTGAGCAATTTTGGATTATATCCTGGACATTACAAATCTTAAGTTCTGGGGATTTTGTCTTCTTTTATTTTCCTCTGAGAAGTGTCCTTTCCTTTGTCTTTGCGGCTGCATTCCTTGGCTGGACTTGAACTGCAAACTGCTTCTTGGGCGGAGCCTCCAATCTGAGTTCCACTCCTCTGCTGTTAGCGGCAGTACTTGAGTCTGTTCCATGCAGATGCAATTGCCGGGTCAGCCAGAGCTGGGATAGGCAGAATTTGGGAATCCCCCTCTGGCATCTTCCCTCCTGGAATTTCCCCACTCTCCTGAGTGTTCACAGTTTTTGGACTTCACTTCGTGGTTTTCTTCAGATAAAATGGCTACAGGGTTTCCCACATGTACCCTCACCCCCTCCGTGTACCACTTAGATGTGGCTAGAAGCCACGCAAAAGGGATTTACTTTTGTATTTTTTCCAAGTGAGTGTAAACTGCCCCCCAGAGTCTATATACCTGTGTCTCCTCTCCAGTACTTTCAAGTAGTTGTTTTTTTGTTTAATTTCCAGGCTTAAAATTGCCTTCTGCGGGCAGGAGCGGGGGGGTGGTGCTGTCTAGAAGGGGTCTGTTATACCTGGAAGCAGAAGCAACTCCATGATGCTTACGTTGTAGTTGGGAGATAGCAGATAAGCTAATAACAAGAGTACAGTAATGCTATGGAAGAAATAAATAAGATTGAGGTGATCCAAGTACCGACCTTAGGTTAGGTGGTTAGGAAGGGTCTCTGAAGGGCTCTGGTTGAGTTGACACCTAAAGAACAGAAGAATTTGGTCATGCAAAAAGCTCGTTGAGAAATGTTTCAAGAAGGGGCGCCTAAGTGGCTCAGTCCATTGAGCATCCGACTCTTGATTTTGGCTCCGGTCATGATCTCAGGGTTGTGAGATTGAGCCCTGCATCGAGCTCCTTGCTGGGCATAGAGCCTGCTTAAGATTCTATCTCTCCTCTCCCTCTGCCCCTCCCCTGCCTCTCTCCCAAAAAAATAAAATAAAAAAGGAGATGTTTCAAGTAAAAGCAACAACAGATACCAAAACTCTTAGGGCAGTTGCAAAAGGTCAGTGTGACCAAAGCACGGAAAGTGAAAGGAATGACATGAAATGAGTTTCAGAGGCAAGGAGACTGTGTGGGACCTGGGAGGCCTTGATAAGGAATTGGCAGTTAACGGCTCTATACAAGAGACTAGGCCTTGTGTTCCTTCTCTGACTGTGTCTCTCTCTGTCAAATAAATAAATAAAAATCTTTAAAAAAAAAAAAAAGAGACTAGGCTTGCCTTTGCTGTAAGGGGATGCTTACCAAACAGATTTGACTACTCATGTTGCTTTGTCCGAGCAGCCAGACCTTAGCAGGCATGATTGATACATAATGTAGTCTTGTTTGTTTGTTTTTAATGAAATAAAAAATTTTATTTGTATGGTCTTAGATTCTGCATTGCTGCTAACTTTTATAACATTACCATCTATCATGTTTTGACTGAATAACAAGATTATCCATAATTATCTGAAGAGGCTATTCTGTTTCCTACTACATGTCAGCATGAGGCCAAATTTTCTTCATATATTCCAACCAAAATAACATAGCACAGCAGATTGAATGCAGAAACAAATTCAGTTATTTTCTAGTCAGTCAGACATTAAAGAAAAATTTTATTTAAATATTAAAATTTTAAATATTCAAAATGTCAATCTTTTCACAAAACTTTTTGTTTTGAAAACTTTTGTTTTGAAAAACAGCAATTTTCCATAAAATGTGTTATTGAACATGTCATACTTTTGCTATTTTTAAATAGGTCATGATTAAATATTTATAAAATGCCTGTTTTAATTTTCAGTATAGTAGATATTGATGGACATAATTCACAAATAAGGTATTTGTGGTCCTCAATAATTGTTACTAATATAAAGGAGTCCTGAGACCAAAACCCATTTGATAACTGCTATGTTAAAGCTATTGTACATGGGAAAGATGATACATTAACTTTAAGTACATAGTGAAATCATGCAAAAAGTTTTTTTTTCCAAATTTTTATTTAAATTCTAGTTAGCATATAGTGCGTAATATTGGTTTCAGGAGATAGTGTAGTCATAGGATTATCTGACCACCCCATCGGCTAGCATCAATAGCACAAAAGCTAGAAGGCCATGCGGTGGATTTCGGCAGTGTGTGTGCAGTTGAAGTGGGTACACCCTAGCCCCCCCCAACAAGGTCTCCGACATCATAGGAAAGAAAATACGTTGCCTTGTGTTACGATAATATAATGACAATTAAAACCACAGCTAAGGGTGCCTGGGTGGCTCAGTCGTTAAGCATCTGCCTTCGGCTCAGGTCATGATCCCAGGGTCCCAGGATCGAGCCCCGCATCGGGCTCCCTGCTCCGCGGGAAGCCTGCTTCTCCCTCTGCCCCTCCCCACTACTCGTGCTCTGTCTCTCTCCCTCTCTGTCTCAAATGAATAAATAAAATCTTTAAAAAAAACAAACCTCATAGCTAAAAAGAAGTGAAAAGCACAAGCAGAATGAGAAAGACTGTAGCAGAATGAGGTGTAGTGGTTCTGGGTAGTAAACACTGTCCCACATGGTTTCTGCCTAAGAGCAGTTATACGTTTTAGCCATGTGTGCCTGCACGGGTGTTGGTCTGATTTCTCTGGGGAGTGCTAAAGAGTCACGGGTTCCTCTCCTTTGGTTCAGATGACAGCGCTTCGGCTGCCAGTAGCATGGAGGTGACAGACCGCATTGCCTCCCTGGAGCAGCGTGTCCAGATGCAAGAGGATGACATCCAGCTGCTCAAATCGGCACTGGCGGACGTGGTTCGGCGGCTGAACATCACGGAGGAGCAGCAGGCTGTGCTGAACAGGAAAGGACCTACCAAAGGTGGGCGTCTTAGATGTGCAGGAACAGCGGACAGCTTGGTCTCGTAGCAGGTGTTTGCCCCTAGTGCATACATGCACTCCTCAGCGTTGACAGAGACTGGAGACTCAGAACATTGATGAGCTGGTCTCGGCATTGCCAGAATCATCACACAAAGCGGGACGGGGTTTTTTCGGCTTAATGTTAGTGAGTTGTTCAGCCCAGGGGTATACACGTGTAGGTGATCAGTAAATGCTCAGAACCACCCATTTTTCGGCTTAATGTTAGTGAGTTGTTCAGCCCAGGGGTGTACACGTGTAGATGATCAGTAAATGCTCAGAACCACCCACGGTGGACTGTTGGGAACAATTGTTTATCATGGGATGGAAGTAGCTTGCGAGGCAGAACCTAGAACCAAAAACCCCACGATCCTTTGGGCGTCCTAGAGGCTGTTCCAAACTTCTTGATAACTCTCCTATCTTTCTCTATACTCAGCTTGTCTGCTACCATTCAGTTCAGCACAGCCAACACTTAATTATCCTATGCCACAGCGAAGCTCGGAGCCAAGAACTGGGGCCCCAGAGGGCAGGCCCTTCCCTGAGGAGCTCAGAACCCGAAAGTTCATCACTCACTGCCCGCCCCCCCCCTCGTAGCTAGGAAGCTCCTCCTGGGCATAGCCTCCTGTTTCTTTCGAATCTCCTGCTCTGCTGTCCAGGAGAATGTAGTCTACTGCAGAATTCCGTACCTAGTGGGTTTCCAGCAAATTTAAATCATCATTTCATTTCCCTGTGGTGCCTATGTGTGAAACATAAAAAAAGCAATATTTGTGTTTGAAGTAACTTTGTAGTGACCCTCTTCTTAAAATCTGGAAGTACAACGCCTCATTAAAGCTTCTGTCCTACTAGTCATAGTCAGTCCCCTGATGTCTGCTTTCAACCCATATACATTGCTCATCGTTTGCCAGGATTTCTGTTCCTTGTGGCTAACTTTAGAAAACAGAATTCATCTTGGCTGTTAAATTCCTTTGATTAAAATATTTGAGATCACACTGGCATGTAAATGTCCCTTTAAAATTAGCTTTTTTTTTTTTTTTTTTGGTTGTTTGGATTTAACAAATTATTTCACAGTTACCATGTTTTTCTTGGAGTCAGGAGAGGGTACTGTCTGATGTTGCATATGTTACTTTTTTCTCAAGTACTTGGCTACATTTTCACATATCCGTGGAAAGAAATCTGTTTCTTTGTCCTTCTGGGTAATTATCACCAGCTCCATGGAAGAGATACATGCTGGGCAATGTCTATATATTTTTGTAATTTTTTTTTATCTGAGTATAGTTGACACACAATGTTACATTAGTTTCAGGTGTACCTCGTAGTGATTTAATATCTGTATGCCCTGCTCACCACAAGTGTGGCTGCCATCTGTTACCACATAACACTACCTCCTGAATAACCCTTTTATTTATTTATAAGATTTTATTTATTTATTTGAGAGACAGAGCACAAAGGGTGGGGGGGGCAGAGGGAGGGGAAGAAGCAGGCTCCCTGCTCAGCAGCCTGCTGAGGGGCTTGATCAGGACCCTGAGATCAGGACCTGAGCCTAAGTCACATGCTTAACCAGCTGAGCCACCCAGGTGCCCCTTGAATAATGCTTTTAAGTCATGTTTTTTCCTCCTCCTAAGTTACAGAATGATTAGGGTATTTTAAATAGAAACCCAGGTTATTTTAGGTATTCTTGACCTGCTCAGCTTTCCAAAAATAAAACCAATGACTACTCTACCCTAAAGGGTACATTCGAAGTTGTTGCTTCATATAAAACATGAGACTTCCAAAACTTCTGTTTTTAAAAAAATTAGGGAAAAAATAATACAAGAGACCTACCAAGGAGTTTTCTTCTCTTGATTAAGAGTAGAGTTTGGTTTTTATAAAACTTCGTCTAAGGAAAAATTTGTTTTCATAGTGAGCTCTATTTCTGTATAATATTCTTTTCATAAGTAAAAGTAAATCAGAACATAATAGCCAGGGGGTCACCCCAAGAAACAGAACGAAGATCAGAAGAAAGCTGGTGAGTGGGGTGGCATCCCCTGGATGCAATGGGCCATGGTTTCCCCCAAGCAGTTAATTACAGGACAGTGGAAGCGGGGGTGGGGAGGTGGGGAAGGGGGCCTGTCAGAGGTTCTGGGTCACTGCTTCCCTTCTGGGGAGAGTCGTGAGGGTGCATATATGCACCTCTAGCTGGATGGCTGTACTCAGTAGCCACGGCTCGGTTGCGGGGTCTTTCAGACAAGATGGATTAGAGGCAAACTTCCTTTGGTTGTAAAAGGCCACATTATTATTATGATCACACTTTACATTATTTTGCCCTGCCATTCTGATACAGACTTGAAGAAGACAGGACACACGGCATTCTAATTGTTAAACATTAAGCGTTGTCAAAAGCTTAGGGTTCAGTGTTTCGAGCTTTGGGTGCATATCAAGCTTTGGGTGCACACCTGCCCAGTGACAGGATTGGCTGTGCCACCACGAAACAGGCCACACTGGTGGGCAGTGAGCTTTCAAAGCGCACAGCGTGGTTCAGCTCAGAGACGGTGCATGGTGGGTGCCATGTCTATGCCACAGTCACCCCTGGCTGGTAGACGGCAGGGTCCACACAGTAGCCCCAGTGTTGCCTGTGAGGCCGTCCATCATGATTCTAATCCCTTTCCATGACAGAACTTCGCTTGTGTGTAGGAAGTTATCGTGACCTCTCAGCTTTGACTTACTTTATTATTTTTTGTATGACTTCACTAGCATAACAATGAGAACTGCAGTCTCGGGAAAATAATTCACTGACAGATCGAGTTCATGGCTTCCTGAGACAGGGGGCAGATTGTGGCCGACCCATCCAATGCTGGGCCTGTGGACGTCGAGTTCATGTAGAGGGAGCTCCATCTCAGACCACTGTTCCTTGGCAACATTCTCCTGTCCCTGGGATTTTTAACCAGTGATACTGCCCTGGGTCTTAGGAGTTACTCAGTCTCTACCTAAGCTCCCCAGACTTTGTTATTCTTGTTTCCTTTTGCCTTTGGTATTTTTTTCTAAGTATTAAGAACTGGTTGCCCTGTCATGCATCTTCACTCAAGAGAACCTCAGCCTGCAAAGTTTGCTTTGTTTATGTTAGATTGACTCTCAGATGGGGAGATTTGGCGTTTTTTAAATTATGCTGAGCTTGGGTTACCATATAGTGGAGAAAAGAGAATCAAATTGTTTGTGGAGGCACATACTGAAAACATTCTTGGTAATAAAGTTTTTTTGGTGTTGTGGATGGAGCGGGGACAGTCCTCACTGGTCACTAGCAGAATTCAGTGACAAGACCCCCTTATAGATCGCTGTTGTGAGTATAAATACAGAAGAGCACTTCACAAATAAGAGCTCACTGCCACATCATGCGAAGTGGAGGATAAATGGTTAGAAATGGAAGGAATGAAGCCATAGGGGCATGGCTAGAAAACTGCAGCCCTTTGTAGGCTTGAGTACGGTGTCATCTTTAAAAATGTCTGTGTTGGGGCGCCTGGGTGGCTCAGTTGGTTAAACCGCTCCCTTCAGCTCAGGTCATGATCCCAGGGTCCTGGGATCGAGCCCCACATCGGGCTCCCTGCTCATGCAGGAAGCCTGCTTCTCCCTCTGCCTGCCGCTCCCCCTGCTTATGCTCTCTCTCTCTCGCTCTCTCTCTCTCGCTCTCTCTGTGTGTCAAATAAATAAATAAAATCTTTAAAAATAAATAAATAAAAATTAAAAAAAAATAAATAAAAATGTCTGTGTTATTGGTAACAACAGGGAAAGTGCCTGTACATTGCATTAAGAGTTGAGAGCAGGATATAAAACTGTATATATGGCATAATTCAAGTAAATAGACAAAATCTGTACAAAAAGATGGGAAAGAGCTATACCGAGAGTTATCATTGATGGTTTGTTTGTTTGTTTTTTCCTGAGTGGTAGGATTGTGGTTGTGTTTTTTCTTATATACTTTTTAGTTGGTTTCTAAATATTCTTTGGTGTAATAAGCAGAAGAAATTTGTGTTTTAAAAATGACTCCTTTCTTGAGCGCCTGGGTGGCTCTGTCAGTTAAACGTTTCCCTTCGGCTCGGGGTCATGAGCCCGGGGTCCTGGGATCGAGCCCCGCATCAGGCTCCCTGCTCCGCAGGGAGTCTGCTTCTCCCTCTGCCCCTCCCCCTGCTTGTGTTCTCTCTCTCTCAAATAAATAAATAAAATCTTTTAAAAATTTTTTTAAAAATTAAAAAATAAAAATTATTCCTTTCTTACCCTGAATCTGATCTTCACTGCACTAAGCACAACAGCAGAGCTCAGAGCAAATGTCCGGAGGCTGGAGTTGGCTCACATGTGTTCTCAAGAAGACAAGGAATCATGGTTTGGAGTTAAATTCATAATAGGCCCATTGTGTACATGCATGGCTAATTTCCATTCCAGTGCTAGGGGAGTGCTATAAGATTTTACTGTAAAATGTAAATTAAAATATGGTCATTGTCCCATGTATCTGGGATTGTCTGCTTTGTTATGCATTAACTAGCAAGTAATTCCTATTTATCATGTTAAATTTTGCTTCTGTGTTCAGACCGTAATTCGGCAGCTTGCCTTTTGTAAACTTTAATATACCTTTTGCAGACTTTTTTATTGGTTATATTCAGAGCCCCATTAATTAACAGATCAGAAAATTACTAAATATAACCAAAACTTTCTAGTAGAGATGCTCATATGCAAGTGGGTCCTGCTGTTCTGGGACATGAAAACCTTCCAGTCTCAGGACTTAGACTCCGAGACCACTGTTGAAAGCAGACTACAGATAACCTTTCAATAGTCTCTGCTATGTTGACACCTACTCCTAATGTTCAGAATGATACTCATAGCTACCATTTATTGACTGGCTGGGTGCTGGACATTGCAGTAGACATTTTGGATATATGAGCCCATTTCCCCTCTCCACAGTTCTTGGAGGTAGGTGCTATCATGCACATCTTACAGATGAGA